ATGTGGAAAACACTCTAGTCAACTATAAGCTCAGTATGAGCCACAAATTGATTTGCCTATCAGCAACATTAACAAAAGCTAATGTACTCTAATTTCCTGAATATTAGAAGTATTTAACATCAGAATCGGTAGCGGTGGGAGATAGTTTCTAACTTGCCACTAGCTATGATAAAGCAAAAGCTATATAATCACTTATGGAGATGCCACTGAGAGAATTGGGGGCTCATAGACTCATTCATTCATTCACCTATTCACTCAGTACATATTTCCTGAATGCCTCTTGTGCAGGTCCAGATCTCTTGAGGCAGATGCTGAGACAAAATTGGGCATGCAGACTATATTTTAGGGATCAACACCATTGGAAACGGGAGAAGAAACGAGACTGGGGAGACGTGATACAGGCCCCACAAAGCCTTGACCCCGGGGAGCTCTGGAACCTTAGAGAAAATACTGCCCACTGTATTCTTGCATTCAGCTGAAATAGCTGGGCTATGGCGCCCTAGACTTGAATTGGATGTGGGCCCCCAGCGAAGGAAGGCTGTGTTCCCAGGGAGGTGACTTTCTGCAGCTGAGGCAGACCCTAGAGGAACTGGCAGCTGGAGAGGAGTATTAATACTTCTGGGTCCACGCCACCTACTAACCACTGTTCTAGGCGTTGAAGAGACAGCAGTCAACACAACGGACAACAAAGTTCAGGCAACAGCAGGCATTCCAGTGGAAGGTGAGAATAGAATCTTTAAAAATACCTAAATGAATATGTATCAGTTAGTGATAAATACTGTGCTGGAAAATGCATCATGAGGAGGTGAAGGTAGAACAGGACGGAAGAAGAAATGTTGGGGAGTGGTATGATGGTTGTGCTATTTTCATTAGTAACGCTTAAGCAGAAACCTAGAGAAGTGGGAGAAAGAACTCTGCATACATTTAGGGGAAGGAGTTCCAGGCAGAGAGCAGAGCAAATACTAAGGCTTTGGGAAACAAAGGGTCACACATGGCCAGAAAGGGGGGGGGGTAAGGAGAGAGTAGCAGGAGATGAGCTTGGAAGGGTAGTACTAGACCAGATCCTGCCAGGCCATGGGCCAAGTTTACACTTGGGAGCCATGGTAAAGATTCACAGTGGGAATAGACAATGGAGATGGCTTCTTAGAGACACTCCCCCCGAGACAGCTCCCTGTTCAGAAAGGAGAAAACTGAATCCCGTGGAAGTGATTTATATGATTAGTACAAGGTTGCATAGCTAGGTAGAAACCCCAGAGAAACTGGCTGCATGTGAGAGAAACTTTGCATTCAGATAGGCTTCAATAAGAGGAAATGCAATCATCTCACATTACTGGAAGACCAGGCTTGGGAGGGTCCTCAGCGTAGTTCCATGAGTGGCTCAGTAATGTCCCTTCCCCCTTTTCATCTGCCATCCTCAGTGTAGCAGTCAGGATGGACTAGGATATGCTACAATAATTCCAGTGGCTTTAAAAAGCAAAAGTATACATATATATTTTTTACTCATGCAACATGACCATAGTAGGGCACTGTTTTCATTAGCTATCAGGCATTCCTCACTGTAGTCACACTGCCAAAACTACTCCCATATAGAGCATTGTTTATCACCATGCCAGAAGAAAATGAGAGCTCTAGAGTGTCTTGCAGCAGCAATTAGATGCTCTGGTTCAGAAATAACACACATCATTTCTGCTCACAACTCATAGACTGATACTAGTCACTTTCTCCTCCTACTCACGAGTGGGCCAGAAATTGCAATTCTACTATATGCCTGGAAGGCAGAGATATTTAGTGAGCACTGCTAATAACTATCAAATTGAAGATGGAATTCAACTCACAGCTGGTGGCCCCCTCCCCTGATGTCATAACATCCAGAGAAACAACACTTAAAAAAATGAGAGGGATTATCACTGTTTTTAAGAGCAAGGAAATTTTCCCTAGAATTCTCCAATGAGCATTGGCCAGCACTGGAGGATCATGTGCCCATTCTTTTTTTTTTTTTTTCTTGAAATAGAGTCTTACTATGTTGCCCAGGCTGGTCTTGAATTCCTGGGCTCAAGCTTATCCTTCTGCCTCAGCCTCCTTCCCACGTGGCTGGGATTACAGGTGTGACCCATTGCTCCTGGCCACATGTCCATTCTTATGCAGTCCCTGTTAGGGGGAATGGGAATATTATGTTTGGCTCAGCCTTTTTGAGATTGGCCTTTTAGATCTGGGGACTGGGTCACTTTCCTTTGAACCACAGTGCTATCTGAGGTTGGTGCAGGTGCTAGAAAGGATTATTCTTCTCTGGTACTTTATATTGAGTCAAATCCACAAAGAAAGGGCACTTCAATACTGTCAACAATTTGGGATTGAAACTCGGAGGAGAAAATGGAGAAATGCATGCTGGTAGCCAAGCAAACTGGTCTACTAAAAAAGGCAAACCGGGAGGGTTGCAGTGTCAATGAGAAATATAGTATACTACAGCGAGGGTTGCAATACGCAACCCCTAAGATCTTACCTAACCCCGAGTACTGTTATTTGCTGTGAGTCTGCTGATGCCACCATTTATGAGCACAGGGTTCAAGGACACATTTGTGGGTGGTGGTCTGAGAAGCCAAATCAGTTTCCCTTATTCAGTTCCACTGATCACATATTATTAGAGTCCTATGTGAGGAGGAAATATTTCGCTCCCAGATATAGAAAAGCAAATTCTGGAATAATGAAGGACAGGTGAAAGCTCAGGGAAGAAAAAAGAAAGGGAATGGTTTAGAAACTGCACATAGTATGAAGGTAAAGCTATAGGGCTCTTGTCTTCAAACATGTTCTTAAGACTCCCCAAATGTACATGCCCATTTTATCAGCTCTCCTGAGCTTGCAATTCTTAGGCTGGACAGCTCCCCTTAGCTCTCTCAGAGGCAAACAACATTGCTACTGCTAACTCAATCCTGAGCCTGCTCTTTTGACCTTGATAATCTCCACTATGGGCACTGACTTCCAGTAATCTCCTTTATCCCTTCATCAATTTTTGTTTTACTTGGATTATCAGGACAGCTTCCAATTGCTTTCCCTGCATCCAGTTCTGTATTCCCTATTCCTTTTAGCTCAGAGATCCAGCAAACATGTCAATCTGAGAGGATCTTCCTCTGATTAAAACCCACCAATTGTTCCCCATCGATTGCAGAATAAATGCAAGTTCTCTGAGGGGGGTGGGGGGCAGTGGGACACAATGCCCTCCTGCTGGCCTTGTTTGGAAGACTCTCTCAGGGCTTATGCTAAACTGCTCCCTGCTCGCACACCCTCACCACTTCCTGTCTTCCTGGTTTTGCTACGAATGTTCCCTCTGCTGGGAGCATCCTTGCCCGTCAGTTTGCTCCATTAACTCTTAACCATTCTTCAAGATTCTGCTTTTCACCTCACGGAGAAAGCTGCCTTTGACCCCCACCCCTCCCCTCTAGGGCCAGGCTGGTGCCTGTCTTGGCTCTCAGAGCACTCTGTGCCTACCTTCATCAAGGGACAAGGGACATAACCATGCCATTTGTTCATCTGTTTCCCCAGCGGTGTGGAAGGTCCCCTTCCTGAGGAAAGGGCCTGCCTAATTCATTCTGCCTGCTGCAGAGTCGGCACCTCGAATGCTTGCTGAGCAGAAACATTAAGGAGAGGGTGGCAGCTGAGACAAGTTCCAGGGCTTGGGAGGGGGAGCAGAGGAAGGGGCGAAATGGAGAGAACAGCAAGTGGGTAGCTGCCAGGAGAGTTTGTGCACCCCGAACCCCACAGATTCAGGATCTCCTTCTGTGTCTTGCAATTTGGGTTCCGGCTCCAATTTATCCATTCCACTGTTCCCAGAAGAGGCACTCTGCCTTTCCAGGAAGGGCATTCCTGGTTTGGGTCACACATGAGTGGGACTGCACAGATAGTCTCAGGGAAAGTTCTCTGCCACCCTCACTCTGACAGCCTGTCCCCTGCCTGCCACCAAAGCTCGCTGGGCAAGCAGGCAGAATTTTGGCCTGGGCCACCGCTTTTTGTTCTGGGTTCCCCCACCTCCTGGAAGGACACATACCAAAGACTTCCTCTCGGGGTGGCCTCACAGCTTTGAAAGTTAGACTCCCGTCTCCCTTCGCAGACCCACAAAGCAACTACACAGGAATGCCCCCCCGCCCCGCCGCCGCCCCTCCCCCGCCGTCAGCAACAGCACAGGGATTTCGACACAGGGATAAAGGGGCCACAAAGCTGAGACTCAGAGGCTCAGGCAGCTTTTCTGACATGGCTTCAGCGCTCTGAAAAAAAAAGTCCAGGAAAGAGGAAAGGGGAGTCCCCTCCCAGCCTGGGGCAGCCTTGCACCCGTTGTGCACGTTAGGGGCGAAGTGGGGAGGAGGGTGACCAAGGGGAAAAGAGTGTAGTTTCACCTCACTGGTGACCCAACAGCTTCAGACAAGCCACTTGACCCCTGGCCTCAGTTTGGGAACCTGTAGCAATGGGTTTGACCTTTTCTCTTGGCTGCGAGCATCACCACTAGGGAGAGGCAGAGGGTTGCAAAAACCCCAACTCCCGTTCTGGCAGCGCGGGGCTAGGGGAGCCTGGGACCCGCCGCGGGGGCCGCAGGGGGGCAGTGGCAGGGGCGCTCTGGCCCCGCCGCGGGCCGGTTCACGGGGGGACGTTCCCACCCTGCTCCTGGCGCCCTCTTCCCCAGCCTGTATCGCCTTGTTAACTGACTGGTGTCCGGGCTTTGGTGACGCGGCGCTTCAAGTGCCGCGAGGGGGGAGAAGCAAAAAGGAGTCCCCCCACCCCGGGCGCCCAGGCGTGTGAACGTGGGCGGCGGCGAGCGGCTGTCCTCCCTCCCCTCCCCTCCCCTCCCCTCGCGGCGCTCCGGTTTGTGCGGTGTGCGAGTGCGTGTGTCTCCCTCGCTCCCTCTCACACACGCTCCGGCACTAGTGCAGGCGGCGAGCCCGCAGCTCTCGGCTCGCTGCTCCGGCCGCTGCGCTCCCGCCTCGCCGCCGCCGCCTCTGCAGTCGCAGCCGGGCATGGTGAGTGAGTGAGGTCCGGTCGCCGCGCGCTCCCGCTCACTCGCCGGACCCCGCGCCGGCGCTCGGTCCCAGGGAGCCAGCCTCCGGCGGGAGCGCGCTGCGGGCCGGGAGGCGCCAAGGGGGGCGGCCCGTGCGCCCTCGGTTCCCGGCGCAGTGCCGCTCCTGGACGGGTCGCGCCCTTCCCGGCCCCGAGCCGTGCTCCTCGAGGGCTGCGCGCTCCTTCCCCGCCTGCCCGCCTGCCGCCGTACCCCTCCTGCCTCCGGGAGCGCCCGTCGCCCCACCCCGTGACCGCTTCCCGTCTTGTCCCGCAGGACCCGCCCGGACGGGACCACGCCGCCGCCGCCGCCCGGAGCCGCGCTTCGGGTCCTGCCTGAGCCGAGCCGAGCCGCGCGCGGGCTGCCGCGCCGGGGGGATGGGCTGCCCGGAGCGCGCCGAGCCCGCAGGGGAGCGCGAGCCGCGCGCAGCCTGAGAGCCGAGCAGCCGCGCCCCGGCCGGTCGTGCGCACCGCGCGCCGCCGCCGCGCGCCCGCGCGTCGAGCCCATCGCCGGCGCCGGACCGCCCCGCGCCTGCAGCCCGGCCGCCGTCCTCGAGCCCGGTCGGCCGGGAGCGGCCTGCGCGAAAGCCGCCCCTCCCGCCGGCCCGCCATGCCTGCGGCGCCTCCTGCGCTGCTGCTGCTCGCCAGCTGGTCCCTGGACTGCTGCCCGGCGCCCACGGAGCCCGCGGCCGCGCCGCCAACCGGACCTGGACGCCGCGCCGCTGCCGTCGGGCCGACGGCCCGGGGGCGCCCTGGCCGGGGCGCGCGCTGAACGGCACTGCCCGGGCGCCTGGCGTCCCGGAGGCGGGGAGCCGGCGCGGACAGCCGCGGCGGCCGTGGCGGCGGCGGCCGGCCGTCACCTACGAGACGTGCTGGGGCTACTACGACGTGAGCGGCCAGTACGACAAGAAGTTCGAGTGCAACAACAGCGAGAGCGGCTACCTGTACTGCTGCGGCACCTGCTACTACCGCTCCTGCTGCAAGAAGCGCCACGAGAAGCTGAACCAGCGCCAGTGCACCAACTACCAGAGCCCGGTGTGGGTGCAGACGCCCAGCACCCAGGTGGTGTCGCCGGGGCCCGAGAACAAGTACGACCCGGAGAAGGACAAGACCAACTTCACCGTCTACATCACCTGCGGGGTGATCGCCTTCGTCATCGTGGCCGGCGTCTTCGCCAAGGTCTCCTATGACAAGGCCCACCGCCCTCCGCGGGAGATGAACATCCACAGGTAGAGGCCTGGGCCCGCCCGTGTCCTCGTGTCCCCGTGTCCCCGCGGCCTCACCCTCTTAGCATGCCTCCCTTGGCCCCTTCGCTCTCGGGCACCAGCACATCTCTCTGAGCCTCTTAAGTCACTTCCACCATCGCTTCTTTCCCACACCGCATCAGAGCTTGCTTGTACCCTCTTCCCCATTTCCTCAGCACCGGGAAGGCATGCTTTGGTGGCAGGGGGCTTTACAAGACGAAGTAAAAATTGGTCGAGAGCATGAAGTTCCAAGTGCAAGAATTTTACAAATTCTGTGATCCTGGATGCGGATCCAGGGCTCCGTTCTCATGGCGTGTGGGCACTTGGGTGTAGGTTGTCGCGGCATTTAGTTTTTGAGTCATATCAGAGTATTGTCTTCAGTATAGGAAACTGACCGATGTTGGAACGTTACTGGAAAGAGTACCAAGCCGGGGTTTTCCCCATTGTTAGGGATGGGGGTGATAAGGAAAGGATGCCTCCTGCGGGAAGAAAGAATAAAGGTTTCTCCGTTCCATGTTGACCAAGCACAGATGGTGTCTCTTCATTGCATCCTGCAAGTGGGATGTTTATCTTTCCTGCTGAGACGGAGGACTTGTTCTTTTAAACCCGTAGGCAGAACTCTCTGAGTTAACAGTTCTTGCCTGTGTTCAACCTGGTGGGGCATCTTTCACTACTTACATTGGGGAGGCAGTGGGGGCTGCCTTCCTACTAAAACTTATGCCAAGAGCTCAGAATATGGTAGTTCAGGGCTCTGCTCACTGCACTGCTCTGGCTGCCCCTGAGCGCTTTGGGAAGTCAAAGCCCTGGGGACAACAGGACCTGGCCTCTTCTGAACTCTAGGAATGACACGCCCAGGGTTAGCTCTGCTTCCAGTCCTCTCGTGATGATGAGTGGCTGGATGTGGTTCAACAGAGTCCTTTCGGGGCCATGAACCCTGCCCCAAGAAATGCCTCCATTTCTGGTACATGTTGTGGGCACTGCCCTAGTAACCACACCCCCCCACCTGCCAGACCACTGCTTGTGAGTGGGCCCCCCCAGGCTCTCCGCTGACCTGTCCACCTTGAGCTCATCTCTGCATCCTGCTTGCTATCCTTATAACCTGAAAACCTCCTTCCCTCACTGCTGTGGACATTAATCACCCCTGCCTTGCCGAAGAGAGAGAAAGGCAGATAGAAATTTCTAGGCATGCTGAAAGAGCTGATTTTTTTTTTTCTGCTTGATACTGTGGGTGTTGAGAAAAGACATTACTCCCGGGAAGGTTTTATTGAGTCAAATCCACAAAGTGTGAGGACTTCAAACTGAGGTGCTGGAACTGGAGTGATTCCAAAGGAGACCCGTTCATAAGACAATCTCATCACCCCAAGGTGCCACCACCCCCTTTGCTACCCCGGTCATCTCTTGGGGAGTGTAGTTTTGCTCAGCATCCTCTCTTGTGCCTGGACTGGCCCCAGGCACTGATGGGGGAATTTTGAGACTAGACTGTGGTTGAGTTGGCTCTGAAATTCGGAGGACAGGTGGGGTGGTGAGGAAAATAAGGGCAAGCTACTCTCCCTTTGAGTCTTATCTGGCCGAGAAGTCTCTTGGCTCAGCTTGGGAAGCAGAGAAGGAGTTGGCCAGGGATAAGCAGGGGCCTCCTAAAGCAGATGTGCTGGTCCTTGTCATCTGTCCACCTCTGCCTCAAGACTTGGAGGCTTTTCTCCCTCCCCTTCTCCTGTGGTCCCCGCCTCTCATCAGACCTTCTGCTCTGGCCATGGCCTCTTGCTCGTTGAGTCCCACAAACCTTTCTTTGAGTTTCTCTCTTCCCTGAGCCATTGTTCTCTGCACTTAGAGAAAGCTGCCCTCCACCCTGACCCCGCCACCTTATACAGAGTTTATTCGTCATCGCCCTGCATGATACAGAGGGTGATGTCCTCGGATGCTGGCAGCAGGCATCTTTGGATGCTGGCGTTGGCGTGTGACCCTGGAGAGGTCACTGTCCCTCTCAGTGTTCTCTCCCTTCCTCGCCGCACCGACTCTGCCTGCCCCAAAGGAGGGCGACACCACTGGTGCATTTTCTCTCTGGGGTGGGGGAAGAGGCCTCACCCGGGATGGGAGATGGATTTCAGGCTTCGGAACATTATGCAGATATGGGATGTTTCTCTCTCAAGTTCACCTCCTGATTTTATTCAGTTCACAGCCTCTCTTCCAGCAGCTGCAGTCTTGCCTGGCCAGTGCTTTGGAATCCATCATATATCTGTGTCGCCGGGTAGGGGACAATGCCTGTCTGATGTGTGTTTGTGGTGGGGGAGTCACAGGGGGACAGAGCATGAGAGACTCATGAGTGACCTTGGGCAGGTCTGGGAATCTTCTTTGTCAGCTCTGGGTAACTGAGGCACAGCGGTCCCCTCCCAACCTCTGGCTTCCGAGGCGTGTTGGGGTGAGTGTGCGCATTGCTCTTGGACTCCCGGGCGTGAGTGTGAGTGTGACCACTGGTCCTCTCACTTTGCTCACCCCTCAGAGGCCACTGCTTGCCATTCTGGGGAGCATTTTTGTGCAGACAGTGTTGTTGGGGGAATCGATGTGGGTGGGGAAAAGGAAGGAGTGATGGCAAAGATAAACATCCACGCCACCGTGGGTTTTCCCTGGGGCAAAGGGGGAGAAGAGAGAACGTACACTCTTCAGAGGTCAAGGGAGCCAGTGGGATGTGCGTTCAGTTACATATTCCTGAAATAGTGCTGCAAAGACGTTCCCTTTCTAAAAAGGAAAAAAAGCGCTTATTCCAGTGTGTGATCCTCCCTGTAGGTGGCAGTTGGGCAAGCAGGGGCTGAGTCTGAGGGGGTTTCAGTGGGAAGGGCCTCGTCAGAAAGGGATCTTTGTGGGGTGTCAGAAGGGGTGACAGACAGGGATGGGCGGTCTGCCTCTGTCTGCCTGTGCACACCCGTTCCCCAGGGCAGGACTTGCCTCGATTCCCCCACCCCTGCAGGGAAGAGCAGGTTTGGTCTTTTCCAGAAGCGTTTAGACCTTGCTGTCATGTTTCTGAGTGAGAAGTCACTGCCTGTAGGGGAGGCGATCAGCCCTCTGGGGGGTCTAAGGGATGAGCGGTGAGCACCAAGTCAGACCCAGCCGGCTGGACCCTGGGAGGGACCAGAGGCAGAGCCACTGCACAGCCGTGCCCACCCTTCCGGACTGGAACCCCATTTCCCACCAGGATCCCCACCTGCCCTGCGCCTTCATTTGAACTGCCTGGGCTAAGGCTCAGCAGACATCCCATCGGTTTCAGTATTTCCCCGGGGATTTCTGCAAGGCTTCCCTGGGGCTGTCTGTTCAGCTGGGCTCCCAACACCCCAGGGCATGGGCTGTGCTCAGGGGTGGCCTGCGAGGCTGCCCCTTCCTGACACTCGGTTCTGTGTGTCTCACATTCAGCCCTGTTCTTTCCTCTTCACCCTGAGTTGATTCATTAGTGTCTTGGAGAGGAGAATCGTTCTGAGGGAGGAACTGTGTGGCTTTTTTAAATGGCTAATTAACAGATGGGTCAGGAAGCTATTAGGATGCTGTCGACGCAGTTGGGGAAATCAGAGCTGCCCTGTGTCCTCCCACTGCCTGCACAGGATGGAAGGATGAAGGAACGTGGGTGGGGTGGGGGGGGATGCTTAAGGGAAGAAAAACCTGGGTGGATGTCATCAGGAAAAAGGAAAAGAATTAGCAAGTGACCCCTCCACTTGTCAAGAGGGTCCTTCATCTTTGGGTTCTCTTGTGTATTTCCAGAGGAGGCCAAGGGAACACTTTGTTCCACCTTTTCTCCCTCCAGAAATTAATGACAAGCCCAAAGTGCTCTGTGTTTTCCTTACCAGGCCACAGAACTGCAATAGCAGGGCCACTTTGCTGGCTGATTAAGTGAGTTCTCTTTCTAGGTTCCTGGGCAAGGAATTGTCAAATCACCCCAAACACTCCATTTTTTGAAGCACTGTGAGCTCACTATAATGAATTGATCTAAACAGAAAATCAACTTGTTTTTTTTACTTCAAATGTAGCAGTTGGAAGGAAAGAAACAGAAAGTATCTTGCCATGGACTGAAGATCTTAGCCTTGCCTGTCTTCCTTTTTCTTTGAGTTAAAAAAAAATGCATGTAAGGAAAATAGGGAAACTGTGGAAGAATTTAAGAAGGCTTATGGAGGAGGGGCCAGAGGGAGGACACCAGGAAGACAGAAAGAAGCAATGGTAGCAAAAGGAGGAAAGCAGTCAGGTGAGAAGTTGACTGTCCCACTGAAGGGCAAAGTGGCATTGCCCACCCAACCTTCCTGTTCCATGGGCTTGGTTTTGTCCTGACTCTAGCAGACTGCAGGCAGGCATTCACTTAAGAAACGAGCCCTGCTCACCTTCCCTGGGCGAGATATGTTTCAAACTATGCAACGTAAGCTTATAAAGCACACGTTACCTTTCACACATGAGGCTAGCAGCGTTCATTCTTGCTTTCAGCAGGGCAGCCGTGCAAATACTTTCCAAAAATCCCTGGACTTGGCGATTCTCCTAGGTCACGCTGCTCAGTGTCTTCATGTTCCTTCCCTACCTTGCCCCAAGCTCAGAAGGGCTGCACGTCTGTTCCTTTTCCCCCTCCTGCAGCCTTGCCCAAGGCATGGAGCACATTCATTTTGGGAAACTGACTGCTAACATACCAAGAGTTTACCCACAGTTCTGGGCTGCCAAGACATAGCAAGAGGAAAAAAAAAAGTCATTGTTTTAAATTGATTTTAATGAGAGATCAGATTGTGCAGCCGATTCCAATCAGTTGTGCAGGAACCAGTGGTGAAGACAGCTGAAAAAGTGAGCTGACTGAAAGAGGTTAATTCACTAGCCCCAGACAGACATGCGTATGGATATGGAATGAAAGGGACTGACACTGAAAGGATCTTTATGCTTCTGGTCCTACTGCCTGATTCCTCTAGGGCCTGGCAGGATTGTATTTAGGTCTTAACTTTCTGGGTTCCATTTCTATAGTCTTCGAGAAT